AAGGCAAACTACAGATCTGAGTAATTTACCAATTTAAAAAATGGTTAAAATCTATTGTAAAAAAGAAAGCAGGTATTGAAAATAATACTTAGTTCAGTTCTGGTAGCCCTGCAAGTCTCAATTTGATTTATGCCTCTTTTTGTCCCATAGATTCAGCAAATCTGAAATAGGTCTAATTGAAACCAGAATCTATCCAGGTTAATGAAGCTATGAAAAGTTTGGTAAAAAAAACAGCAAAATGGCAGTACTAGTTCTTTGTCACCAAGATCAGATCTTAGAATGATTTTTTTCTCATTTATCTTTTAAATTTGTCCTTTGTAGTATTTATTTCTGGGTGCTTATGCCTCCTCCAATAATCAATTTACTATTAATAATTGTATCAGTTTAGTTATTATTGAATCTATCTGCAGAAAAGGTACACTTTAGAATTTGGAATTAATATCGAAAATTTAAAACATCTTTCGTACTCTTGAAATGCAGAAATACTGTTGTAGAAATGTCTCTTGAATTTCCCAACCCCCATTTTACCTGCATTCAGAGAATCAATGTTGTGGTTTCTATGGTTTCTCTTATATGAGTTTAACCACTGGATTTGTAAAGCATGGTTTTATTGTGAAGCCACTCTACTGCAGCTTAGACAAGAAACTGCGGTTATGGTAAATAGCAACCTGATGAGCCCAGCTCTTATGTGGAAGTGCAGTTTCAGTATGTTTCAATGCATTATGTTTCATGCACCTGTTTCTGTGGCATATTTATACTCCTAGGAGCAGATATTTCTGTATTAACACAAATGACTCATCCATAGGGATTCCCACAGAGTTTTACTATTAAAAAAGCGACAAATTATCGGCCTCTCAAACATTTTAAGTACACTTGGATGGAAGACTGGGTGCCTCAGTCCTCCTTAGTCTCCAAAATAATTTTCTATTCTATAAAAGCTGTTCCTAAAGCAGTGTTTCTCAATCTTGGCAACTTGAAGATGTCCGGACTTCAACTCTCAGAATTCTGGGGAATTCTGGGAGTTGAAGTCCAGACATCTTCAAGTTGCCAAGGTTGAGAAACACTGTCCTAAAGGCTGTTGGGCCAGAGCAGGGGTGTCAAACATGCGGCCTGTGGGCTGGACGCGTCACTTGTTAGCCATGCCCAGCCCCATTTCAGTGAAGGGGGAAGAGAGTTGCATCACGTGATGACATGCCATCGTGAGTTTCATACCCCTGGGCCAGAGGAATGGGATCTGACTCATGGATGGGGGAGATGAGATAAATCCATGCGATTGGCTGTTTCAGCCAGAAATGACTTTTCGGCATGCAAAAACTGTAGCCAGTTCAAACGATGGCTGGGATGTTCTGGTGAAATCAGTACCGGCTATTCTGAAAACTATGGTGGAAGTATTTTTAAGTAATACAACCGTGCTTTATTTTAAAGGATGTTCAGAACATCCATTCTGAATCAAACATTTTTTATAGACATATTAAAAAACAACAACACTAAGGTGATTTATGTACTGACATACGTATTTTAAAAGCTGTTCTTATTAATAGGGTTATTAACAATCATAATAATCCCTGTGCCTGTTATTTTCTCAGTACCAAATTGTCCTGCTGTGACATATCCATAATTCGGAAATTTCTATTGGCATATTCTTTACTTCCAAGGTGTTTTTTTTCCACAAAGTGAAATTTTCACCCAGCGGTCATATACACTTTCTGAGAGCAAATACCATTGAACTTAATGGAGCTTATTACTAAATCTTTACTACATGTAGGATTGCATTATCTGATTACTTATTACTATCATTGATCTTCTTTCTTGGGTCATAAGTTAAAAACTGCCATTTTACAGTTATTTTCAAAAGGTCTCTCCCCCCCACCCCCTTCTTGGGATGCCTGCTCATCAGAATGTTTTATCTGGCTATTCAGCTGTCTATTAATATTATTAATTTTACCAGCTCTTACCCTGTCAGTGCATACATTCTATGTATTTTCCCCACACCCACACGGAGAGGGACTTGTACATATATGAATGTACCTGATATTGGATGTTTTCAATTTAATTTTCTGTTCTTGTGTTAAACGCATATTAATTGGAATGGTTTAACAGAATGATATAGAAATAAATTAAATATAGTGCTTATCAATACTTGTGGATGATTTATCAATTAATAGTCTAATTCACTTTATTTCCATCCTCCCAACACTTCCAATTTTCCACCAGCTGACTAAACATATTACCAAAGTCCTCCTATTTAAATGGGAGAAATAAGTTCGTATTAGTTTTCATTGAAGCTAGTGATACTTTCTAAAGGTTATCTTTTCCTAGCTTGACAGTTGCTCAGTCGGTGTAAAAAGGATAATTTTCTAGAATCTTTAAAATTCAGATTCTTTCTATTATTAATAAAAGCACCTAGATTAGACTCCATGGGCAGAATGCCATATTTTTGTCTTAAAATCTAGTATTATTATTGCAAGTTTTATTCTGAAGGAATTCCATGATGAGTTGTTTTCGTTTTAAATCGCTGGGTTATATTAATTTCAACATGGAATAAATGTTTAGTTAAAATCACAGAAATCCATACTAATATATAATAAAAAAGGCTCCAAAAGATAACTTCATGTTTTAGGCAGTAGAAAGAATTTATCCCTTTCAATTCTCATTCCCTTTAGCTTTCTGAAACATTTTGTTTTAAGTTTATTTTTATGTAACACAGACAATAGGTGTCCTACAAAGTTTAGTACTAGTTTGGCTATGAAAGTGATTTAAAAAGAACGTTTAGTCTGATCCCAACTTCTTCAGAACTTTGGTGAAGTGTTCTATGAATTTTAAACTGAACAAAACAATTATACTCATCCTAAAATAAAAGTAATAAAATCAAAACCTATTGATATCAGAAATAGAAAATATTTTAGTATATATATGAATGCTTTTCAGAGCCTTGGAACCCATTTTTCCATAAGTGGTTCAAATTTGATTAGGAATCTTTGGAAAATTATTTATTAGTCATTGTTCTTTAACCAATACTGTATACTGGCCTCTTTACTTTCTTATAATTTAACACTATTTTAAAAAAGCAATACTAGTACTGGGTAAGACTGGTGGGGGAGTTACAATAAAAGTCACTTTAACAAAACATTTTTCCTAGTTTCATAACAAATTTAATTTGGTTCATTTGGAAGTCAATCCTTCCACTTGAAGAAAGGGAAAGTATTTATCTCAACAGATCATTTCTATTATTTTTGTTTTAAAATGACGATTTTCAATTTCATCTTCAGAAGTTAAATACAGGTAATCCTTGACTTACAACAGTTCTTTTAGTGACTGTTCAAAGTTACAACGGCACTGAAAAAAGTGACTTAAGACCATTTACATACTAATGACAACTGCAGCATCCCCATGGTCATGAGATCAAAACTCAGATGCTTGGCAACTGATTCATATTAATGACTGTTGCAGTGTCCCAGGGTCATGTGACTACCTTTTGTGGCTCTCTGACAAGCAAAGTCAATGGGGTAGACAAATTCACTTAACAACCTTGTTACTAATTTAACAACTGCAGTGATTCACTTAACAATTGTGGCAAGAAAGGTCGCAAAATGGTTGTAAGTCGAGGGCTACCTGTACCTGTAGCTGATGGTATCTCTTGAATCTTGACTCTTAGTCATGCAGACTTAGAAAGTTAATTAGAATAACAGGGACTTTGATGATTAAATGGGATATGGAATAGCAAAAATGTTTCAAAATTGTGATGCATTCACTGAATAAGACCTATATTCCATGTCGTAGACCATTAGGATCACCAAAATGATAACAACCAAAACATATATACCCTTAATTATTTCTTCATGTAGGGGTTTCTTTTGTAAAATGATACTGCAAAAGTTGAACCATAGCTAGCTTTCTGAAATGTAGGTGTTTGTAAAAGTGATGTATATGTGTATTTGATTACAGTATTTGGAGAAAAATCGGGATTTCCATGATCATCTGGCCATTGGTCACTTCCACAGATAATAAAAAAAACACTTGCATCTGCATTGAAAGAAATATGCGTTCTTTGTGAATAGCACCAGTTTTTAAAGTGTCAGATGAAATATGTAGGATGCAATTAATTGCATAGACTATATTCTGAAGTTAAAGTATTTTTGCTCATGTCCTCAAGACACTTGCAAACTTCATGTAGGCAAGTTCCACAAAATAAATGAATTAAAGGATAATACTAAGCTTTCACTAGAAGTAATGTGCAAAGTATAGAAGAAAATATATATTTTCAAGTTTTAATGGGCCTGTGGATATGGTATTTAATTAATTGACACCAATATTAGAATGTGGATACAACATGCAAATATGGAGGGCCAAAGAATCTCAGATTTAAATATTTAACTCAGCATTAGTTTTTGATTATTTAATATTACAATGTACACCCCATTGTTAAGTCAGGGATGTGCAACCCTCCCAGCTCAGTGTTGTGCAAATATGGCCCCCTTTCGGAAGAGAACATCACAGTGAGATTTTTTGTGTGATTTAATCATAATATTGACAATTTTATCAAATTTTACAAAACTGGTATTTTTTTAAAAAAAAATCTAACTCTTAATAAGACTAGAATGGGGTTCTTTTAAAATAGAAAAGCATTATTATGCTACTGCTCTTCTGGAATATTCATATTAAAAACCCTATGTAGCAAAATACAAACTGTAGCTAATAAAAGGTAATTCAGTCCACCATGATATTTTATACTGTTAAATTCTGGGAATTCACAAATAATATTGCGTTATTAGCATGTTGTCTGCACAATGGCATTGGTCAATTTAAATATGAAGATGAAAACAAAACCCCAAACTTAAGATTGTGGCCATAACTGCTATGGGACATATATTAATTTCCATCCTTTGGATATGATTTTCAGAACTAGTGCCAGCAGTACATGCCAGTCTAAATAATTGGCTAGAGGAACTAAAACTTCTTCATAAACAGAAATGTGTTCATAAATCTCCATGATAGAAAGAATAATTTCTTTGATTTTATATAATTTTTTATCACAATTGACCAAGAATAAATAAATAAATAGACACATGAGGATAGTTACCACTTTATATCCTCAAAACACCACACAAACATCCACTAATTGAGCTAATGAGAGGCTAGTCATCTTATGGGGCCCAATTTCACTGGTTCTGCATCGTGCCAAGTTACAGAATCAGGCCTTGAGTTTGTTTTCTACCTTTGCAAATGAAGGTATTTTCCCCCATTCTCTAAATATAGGAGCTTATTATTATAAATTAGAATGGTGGCAAAACATTTTAAATGTTAAAATCTTCTGTTAGAAAAATATAGATTTGTTAAACAATAACAACAACAAAAACATAGGGTTGGGCCTTGAGTTTGTTTGTTTGTTTGTTTTAAAAAAAGAAGTCATTTATGCATTAATGCAAAGAGAAAGAAATGGCTCTATGGGCAAATTCAAGTACGAGCGACCAGCTTTTTAATTGTAAAGTATGTGCAACATTTTTAAAAATGTTACAACACTGCATGACCTGTAATGCTCACAATATTTACATCAACTGCTTACATAAAACCATAAAAACTCTAAAAAGGAGGGAAAAATCTGTATGGACTGAAACAAACTATTCCTAGCACCCACATCAATGCCAATATTAACCAATGAAATCGAGTGCACAAAAATACTTTACATAGTCTACTAATGTAAAGTATACATTGGTGAGAAAAGAGTACAAACCTAATTAGTTAAAAATGTCAAAAGAAGGGTTGGTCAATACAAATTCAGTTTTAGGGACAAAAAAGAATCTTTAAAAAACTACTAAATATAAACACACATCCACCCATACACACACCCATGAGTATTCATGAATAGAAACATCTGTTTAGACACGAGCAGAAAGCCGGCTGGTACGAAAAATGGACAACATTAACTCTTTAAACATAACAAACACATCAACTAGTAACAAAAAAATAAAATAAAAATAAAAGAGTGCTAACTGATCTACACAAAGTATCATTTCAAATGAGCTTTCATGTAGGATTGTGGAGACTACCCTGCCATCACATAGAAGACACAATGAACCTACCCATCAGATAGAAGGTGGAAGAATTCCTGTCTCCAGGTCACTGTAGCTTAGTGTGATTAATTGCATTCCCTCAGACTGGGGTGTGGACAAAGGAATAAGAGCTGTCCAGATGAGAGGAGGTGATCTAGCTGCATGCTAGAGTCATGTGTATTGGGAAGGAGAACTGACTGGGTGAGTGTGGGGAATTGTTTCCCGAAAGCTGTTGTCCTCTGGGGCTCATTTCACATGGAAAGTGGAGTGGGGCCCAGAGAACATGAACTTGGGCAGGTGATAAGTTCTTTTCATATAAGCACTACATTTTGGTTATAAACTTATTGTCATCAGTCTTGGATACTGCTGATTACCAGTAATCTTTGCTAGGAGAGGTAACTAGGCCATTTTAAGGAATGACGTTCCAGGATGAGATACAACGGTGGCTCCTAGATGAAGAGGTAGCAGGTAGTCCTCAGGAGACTCCATCTTGGGCCTAGGCAGAGTGAATTGGGATACTTGGAAAAGAGGGGAAGGCCACTGCCATTATATGCAGCACCCATATTAAAAATGAAACTGCATTATAATTTCTTTCAAAGGTACACACTGGGTATTTTGAGAAACCTCACAGCTTCAGGTTCATGTATCTGTAGTGTACTATCATATTCTAACATATATGCTTCACATTTCTTTCAAAATTAACATAACATAAATAATCTGGTTAATAGATTCAACCTGCACATTTCTGCCACATTAATATAAATATATATAAAGATATATTTATATATTTATATATACGAATCTGTTAATGGTATAAATAATTCTTATTAAATAAAATAAATCTGATATGTTACATAATACTGATAAAATCACTGGCTGGGATCCAAAGAACTACCTTAGGTCCATTCAAGGACTTGGATTTGTTTCAACCGGGCTTGAACTAATTGCTACCTTTCTCAAACAAGAACTCCACCGTATTGGAAAGAATTGTTTTGAAAGTTGCCAATGGTTCAAGAACGCTGGTAATCTCCAAACTGGGAAAAAGGAGATTTTGTTCAAAAGATACTTTGAAAAATCTTATAGGTGCACTGAACTAGCTGTGGAGTCCTTTGGATCCTGGCCACTGCCGCTAATAGGTTAGCAAGCCACCTTTAACCTTTAGTATTAATAAGGAAAATGCTGTTGGTATTGGCAGGCAGGGGAATTCAGTAACTGCTTACGCTCATCCAGTCCACTGAATACAGTAAAAATATCCAAGGACAACTAGTCACTGAATCCCTTAGTTAATTTAGGAACACGTTTTTGCTAAATTGTAATCTTACTGCTAACAATTAGCAACAACAATGAATCCATCAATTGGGCTATTGCTCTCATACTTTAATAAAAACTGTGTTCTTTGCTTAAATAAATTGGAATAGCTACTTTAGGCTTTGTTAAAAGCTTTGGGGGGGGGAAGGTAGTAAAAATGAATGCTGATATGTTTCTGATTTCAAAGCGGGTAGCTAGGAAATTCTGTTAAAGCTGACTCAATAGTCTATCTAAATATTTTTAATTAAAAAAATCTACAATACTATAATTTAAAACTCAATTAAAAAAACAACAACCATGCAACTGGTAGTTGCAGCTTTTGATATCTTAATTTGACCTATGATCCCACATCCCATTAGGAATCTGCAAGGTTTCACTCTCCTACAGGGACCCAAAATGGAGTACAGTACTTCCAGGCCAGGTTCATTCCAAACAGACACTATAAATGAACACTCAGTGGCAAAAAGTGTTATGTCATAATTAGGGGATTACATAATCATGCCTTTTCACTGCTGTTAAATACAAAAACAGCATTTTTTACATTATTATATAAAAGCATTTAGGCTGTATTTTTATTTATCACTTTACATTGGTAGTCTCTTGTATGTGTACTCAATAGAAACCAAAGAATTTTGTACACTATTCTTTTGTACAATAAAAGATAAAGTGTGCATTAGGTATGCTTGTACATGACAATAGTACACTATTTACATTTCAGATATCGTCATGAAATTCTGTTTTATCTATGTACATAATGAAAATTTTGCAGAAACATTTGGACTATAATTTTATAATCACAATTTTAGTATTATAGAAAAAAAGGATTTATAGACACTCTTCAATCTTTAGAAGATCTGGATTAACTTCTCCCTCTTTAGCAATAAGAATACTGTACCACTGTTTTGTTTAGCACCTTGTGGTGATTATATATATATATCTATATATATATATATCTATATATATGAAAATTATGTGCATGTTATGTAAGAGCCAGATCAGTAACAAAGACATTCAATGTTATCTAGAGATCTTCCTCCTCTTGGGTTTTGGAGGCTTCAGCTGTCTGTCTCCCTGTGGAATCTGATGCACCTAGGGAAAAAAAAAAGGAAGACTTTAAGGATTAAGAGTAATTGCATTGCACTCCTGTCAAAAGCACCAGGTTGAGTTGCTTCCAGGTTGAAAGGATTAGCTGTGACATCACCATTGCCTGTGGGGCGCCCAGTTGGGGGCTCCTTTCATGTCCCCATTAACAAGCCTATCAAAGGGGTACCTATCTGTCTTCTTTTGAATGCACGCTTTCGAACTGCTAGGTCAACTAGAACTGGAACGATTTATAGGAGCTCACCCTGTCCCATTGCAGCAACTAGGCCTCAAATGTGTGCTTTCTGCTTGTCAACCCAGCACCTAACCACACAAGCCACCCTGCTCCTCATTAACAGTAAGGAAATATTAGATAATATTTTAAACATTTTATATTTTATATATTTTATCCCTACATATATTTGACTCAGCTAGATCAGTTTTGTTATAGCCTAGAATGAAGGTACAAAGATATAGAAGAGCTTCCTATTTCAGTATGTCAGAGCGAAACCTATACATATGGTTCATGGTTTGAATTCTAAGTCTCTTCCCCCTGCCTTGAAAGTCAATGGATATTTGGTCAACTTTTGGCTGACCTTGAGAGGCACCTGAGGTATGTTGGCATATAAATTCTCCATTAATCTGGAAACTATTGGTTCTTGCCTCACCAGGTTCTTTCTTTACAACACATCTCTGATAGTCAGAAACAGTGAGCATAATGATATGGTGCACTGGGATAGGTTACCAAATATGAATGGTAATGATAAAGGTGGAAGAAGTCACTTGTTGAAGACACTGGACAAGATACAGTGTCTAGAGAACCAATTTGAGTCAATTTATTACTTCTATTTTAGATCTGAGCATATATTTAAATATATTTAATGAATTTATTGGGAATGTATATTTTGGAATACTATGGTCAACTCATTATCTTAAACCATGTGGAAAATTTATTTTCTGTAAACCTTCCCCTTCTTCCGTGTTTCTGTTCCAGTTATCTGCTTCTTCACAAATACTGGGCTTGGGGAATCCTCCCTATTTCTCCTCCCTCTGCTGTCACACCCCTCCCCCCAAATTAACTATTAGGTACTTACATTCCCAGACATTTTGTCAAGTTCACTCATGGCCTCATGGATAGCAGCTTCTAAATGGTTATTTAGCTTCCCACTTCTAAGATGAAAATAGAGGAATAGATTTACAATAATGCTGTAGCTTTTCAGTAGAATATACTTAAAAAAATATATATATATTGCAACTTCAAGTTAACATTCTATTCAGTTTTTCAATAATAGCAATACATTTTACTTTGTATTTTCAGTTTAATGTGCACACACAGAGACATGCAAGTAGTCTTCAGATTATGACCACTCATTCAACGGCACTGCACAAATGCTACTTACTGTACAACTGGTTCTTGTAGTTCTGACCATTGCAGTGTCCTAGCAATCATGTGATTGCATTTTGGTGTTCATAACCTGGCTTGGGATTATGCTGCATTGAGTTGCCATACTGTGATTGTGACTTCCAATGCTACCTGTTGGTTCCCACAAGTAAAGGGAATTTCTTGTCTGTTATCTCTCTCTCTCCCCCCCCTCCCTCCCTCCAAACACATCCAAAAGTATATATATGACACATATTGATGTATCAGTAGAATGTTAATAGCTGATCAAAACCATCAAGATATATTTGAAGAAAGCTTTATAGGAAATGAAAGGAATTAAGAATAATATTAGGAATAATAATTAATGACTTAAAGACTTGAAAGAAAGAAAAGATACAAATTGAAAGCAGTTGGTTAGAGCTTTTTAAATATTATATTTAAAAAGTATATATATATATGTATATGTATATGTATATGTGTATGTATGTATGTATGTATGTATATATATATATTTGTTATATCTGTGCTTCATTCTTAAATTATAGACTTATAAGATTTTATAAAAAATAATAAAACATTGAAGAAAAAGTTGGAGATGCACTGATTAAAACTGTGGGATCTGAGAATCTTGAAATATATCAGTGCAGTAAAATTGTGGGAGAAACAGAAGTATATGGAGTCTTATTATATATCAACAACAGAACAAAAAGGAAGATGAATATTTTAACGACAAGAGAATATAACGATAATTTGCATAAATGTTTTTTTCCCTACTTAATAATTAACCATGTAGATGGAAATTTTGTGAGAAAAATTGTGAACTAAATCATTTATTCAAAACAAGTTACTCCTCTTCATGACTACAGTGCTGAAAGGCCTTCAAGAATATTATAGTTTTCTGAGATGGGTGCTGAATGAGATCAGCTTGTGCATAAACCAAATAGCAACACAAATAGCAGCTCCAATCAATGTGCGCAATCCAAGATGGGACAAAAGATCAGCAGCCTCTCCTTTCTCCTAGTTGTGCAACTTGGGGGGGGGGGCAATAGTCTCCATGTTTTCTCTCTGCAGAAGTAGGCCTTTCTTGAACATGTGAACGCTTCTATTTGAACTGGATTTCTCCTTTAGAAGAGTTTCACTGAAGTGAAATCTGTCTAATAGCATAACTCAGTAAGAGGACAGAAAATGTGGTCATTTCGGTAAGGAATTTCAATTCTAAATTCAGTGTAAATCCTAACAAACATCAAAGAAGCATAACAACCATACGAAGGTTTTAAATATGTTTCCAAAATAGTTACAATATTCTATTTTTAAAAGCTATATGAACACTGCAGTATTGAGGACAAAAAGATGTTTACTTTCTCAGCTGCAAATTACTTTTTATTTTTAAAACAGAATAGTACACATAACATCTGTTTGTGCAAATTTTCAAATCCCTTCTTTCCTCTGAACATCTATCAAATCTGCCACAGAAATTTAACAACACGAACATGAACAATTTGTATGCATTTTAATAACATATATAGCTATATAGAGTAACAAACTGTTAAGGTTATGTCATTTAGCATCTGTAGATTAGGAATTATCCAGAGAGAAGTCATGGTTTAAAACTCATATTAAAAAAGAAATCTTAAATTTTATGGTACAGAAATAATAACTGAAATAATATAAATGTTAATTCTAATGGGTAACAGAAATCAAATATAATTTCAGTCCAATATTATAATAAAATCTTGATTTAATGGACTATTGGGTGGGACGGTGCCCATTAATCCTAGATATCTGTTAAATCTGGAAGAAACTGTACATTTGTGCATGCATTAGCCCCACCCACTATCACATTCATGCATAACAAAATAGATTAGGATTCTTTCTTTCAAACTGATGGCATTTGGCTGTAGCTGCCATTTTATTCTATTCATATTACACACACACACACACATAACATCAAATGTACAGTCTTGTGAAAAAGCTGGCCTTCATGCCTAAGAAGTGACTAGAACTCACAGTTTCCTGGTTTCTAGGCCAGCATTTAACCATCACACCAAACTGGCTCAAAATATAAGCTTTCTAGATAATTTTTTAAAATGATAACATGCCCAGAATCCTTAAATATCTATATGTTCAGAAATAACAAATGTATGACGAACATACAGGTGCAAATGGAAGAGATTTGTTCATATAACATGAAATCCAATTAGAAATAATGGATGAGAAGAGACTTATATATCCTGTTCATTTCTATCACTGCATTTAAAAACCCAGTGTTTATCTTTATTTAATCTGCTGAATAATAATTACAATTTCCATATATGCAGGAATTCACTTTAACTCATCATTGCCTCTTTTCACATAATGGAATATATTAAAATATGTCTGACTATAATTCCAATCCAATTGCAAGTATTTCTGGGGTTTTTTTGTATGTGAAATCAAATTGTTAACATATGGGTGCTTTTGCACTTCAATTAACCTGCATTAATTCTCTCCATGGGCTATTTTGCCTCAAATAACTGAATTCATTCTGAATTCAGGGATGTAAACTTTAGTACATTGGGGTTTGCCTTGAGGGGGCCATGCCTTCCTAGTTTGAATTCCCATTCTGAATTGGACTGCAACTGGTGTCATAAGACTACTGCAAGCACCAATTCAACAAAGCACATTGAGTGTGATTGAGATCCTAGCTTTAATTGAAATGCTGTATTCACAACTTCTCCACATAGCACTAGAAAAAAGGGAAAGACCATTTCTATTGTTAAGAATTTTTATCTGTTATATGAAGGGAATTTTTTTGTACATTTATAACTTGACTTCTGTCCCCCCCCAGCCCCCCATATCTGAATTGACAGATGGCTAAAGATATTGAACTGAATTGGAAACACACAGTTGAAAAATAGAAGTTTATCAAAATTCATCTCGTAATAACTGACAAATTTGGTAAAATTTTCAGCTTTGTTACTATGGATTAGTAATTTTTCTTTTTTATCTCAGGACCCATTCCCAAAATTTATGTAAAGATCTTTTTTTCCTCTGAGTTTTATATTTATTGATATTTACTATGTGAAAAATTAAAATTGACACATTCACTGTTGCTACTGCTTTTCACAATTGTTTAATGGGATTTTAATACTGCATTATTTTTCAGCGTAGGCTGACAAATAATTTGATTTTCCAGACTCCTTAGAGAAGGGGTGTCAAACTGGCAGCCCGCAGGCTGGATGTATCAGGCGCAGGCTACGCCAATCCCGGCTCCGGAAAGGCAAAAAAGTCACGATACATCTCGTGATGCCATAGAGTTTGACACCAGTGCCTTAGAGGGGTTTGAGGAGGTCCCCAGGGGTTTTAGGATTATTTTAAGAAATACTGCTATAGATAATCGTTATACTATATTCACTTTTTGATGTAGAGATAGATTAATGCTTATATTTTTTATTTATTCTATTTCAGCTTTTATTTTTGTTATTATTAATGCTGTATTTATTGTAGGGTTACACACTTATCTTGATTTGGATTGCCTTTTTTTTTTGCATGCTGCTGCTGAAGAACTTTAAATTGCATCAAAGCAAATGTCTCACCTGTGTCCAACACTGATCAGCATTAAATGTCATGAATAAAGGCAAATACACATATCACAGGATAATGTTGCAAGCTCGAATCTGGGTCGACCACTGGGACCAGGGGTTTACTTTTCTGAGTTTTTGGACTCATGCTGCAGCCCATCTTCCAGGAACTGCTCTCTACTGGAATATGTGCTTTGGGCTATTCTGTGAATTGTATTTATGTGGTGCCTTTATTTATGAAGGACAGACGGGGGGAGACTGACTGTAGTGTGATTCAACTTTGCAAGGTTTCTATTCTAAATTGCATACTAACAAGAAACTTTCAGATTACCGGATTATATTGGATTCTGATAAATGTAACATCAAATACTTTTATTGACCAGCCTTTACAGTAGGAAAAGAAAAATAGTTTGGTACAGCAATTAATTATCAGGAGAAAAGAAAAAAAGAAAACAACAAGACCATAAAACAACATATCTAATTAAAAGTTTAATGCAAACATAGACAGGATTGCAATTTTTTAATCTGTTATATATCATTAACTATAGGAGCTATAATTTTAAATGAAATTATTGGTATGACTGGTGGTTACAGTTGGAAAATCTTTAAGCATGTACAAATTGAAAGTCTGGCTTACTCAACTATAATTAGAACTTTTGTTGTTAATAAAATAGAATAGCTATTTTCTTTGCCATCTATGGAGATACCTACTTGGCACAACCATCCCTCAGGTCATAAACTTTTATATATTTTGCCTGGCATGAGAGGTTAAGTGTCCACTTATGGGAATCTTAACCGTTGTCTAACGTCTCCCTAATAAAAATCTAAAATAAAACCAAAACAGCAGAATTTCCCTTCTGTCCTTTAAGTAGAGACCCAGTTTGGTGTAGTGGTTAAGGTGCTGGTCTTGAAACTAGAAGACTGGGAGTTCTAGTCTCCTCGGTGACTTTGAGCAAATCACGCTGTTTCAGCCCAACTGATCTCACAGGAATGATTATTGTAAGAAAAACAGGTGGAGGAGGTAAGTATTAGGAATGTTTACCACCTTGAATTACTTATAAAGTAATACAGATGGCATAAAAATCTAATACAACTGGAAATATGCTGAGTAGGCAAAAGAAAAACTATGCCGATGTTGTTTACTCCTTATTTGTTTGCAGGACTAAAAGTTTTAATACTATATGTATTCAAAAATGTTTCCGCTTGTAATAGCAGTAATAGTAACAGTAGTAGTAGTAATAGTAGTAGTTCTTCATAGATGGGATGTTAAATGTTTGCAAAGGGTAATTGCGCTGAGCTAAACTCCAGTGGGGATAATTGCTTCCTCCTTTGTCTCCTGTGCCCTCTCCACCAGTCACTCATTTAATTGCTCACCTGCTCATTGCTTTTCAATCTGTTAAGGTATATCACTTTTCCTCTCTACAAGCTGCACAAGGCAGTCTTTATTCAGTGATGTAATTACAGATGGGACAGACTAATCAGCTTGTAAGTTTGCCAGAGGCCATGTTCATTTTATAATCTTAGATAAATGGATTGCCTTGGCTCAAAATAAGGGCTTGGCCGATGGCCAATATTTGGGGTTAGGAATTATTGACTAGTGACAATATTGGGGGGGGGGGAGCAGATTAGAGGAAGGGATTGGGAAGGGGGGAGCAGATGCAATCATTTATACTATCTCCTCTTCCTCCTTCAATCCAATAGAACGCAATAGAAGCCTGTTGCATCTTGGGCACTGAAACGGCTTTTAGGAGAAACATTTCCCTTGATGTGTGTGTGACTCAGTGGTAGTGAAGCCACGCAACTTTGAGACAATATGGTTTTGATTTCCTTAAATTCAGCGTTTCAATTTTTTATTTGTATGTGATGGATATAATTTATTCCCATGAGAAGAAAAGATGGAAACTTCAAATTAAACATCTTCATAATTTGGATAGAATTGCTTGAGGAGTTGCCTGGAGTTTTGGTGGAGTAATGGATAGCCTGGAGATGTTTAAATAGACTATGCACTAGTATGGCTACAACAAAATACCACATGGAAAAATGGGGGATTCTCACAGAGGACATTTAGTGTGAATGAGGCACTATTCCCATGATGACAAACCTATGGCACGCGTGCCACAGGTGGCACGTGGAGCCATATCTGCTGGCACGCAAGTTGTCAGCACCAGTGTGCATGCGCATGCCGGCCAGCTGTTTTTTGGCCTTCTGGAGGGCTGGGGGAGGCCGTTTTTGCCTTCATGGGCTGCAGGAAATCCCCCCAGAGCCTGGGGAGGATGAAAAATGGGCCCAATGGGTTTACCGAAAGTTTGGAAACAATCTGTTTCTGGCTTCTGGGGGGCCGAGGGAGACAGTTTTTGCCCCCCCCCCATGCTCCAGGAAAGCCTCTGGAGCCTGGGGAGGGTGGAAAACAGGCCCAAAGGGCCTACCAAATTTCTGGTAGGCCCCTTGAGTCCATTTTTTGCTCTCCAGAGGCTTTCTGTGAGCCTAGGGAGGGCGAAAACAGTCTCCCTCGGCCCTCCAGAGCAAATACCAAGCTCAGCTTGGAGGTGAGCAGTGAGGCTCACGGGGGTGGTGGTGATTGTGCACGCCTGCACATATGGGGCACACTTTGCATTATGGGTGCTGGCATGCGCGCACACTATTGCACGCCCATGTTTTTGGCACCCAACAACAAAAAGGTTAGCCATCCCTGCACTTTTCAAACAACTATCCATCTTTTACAGTGCCCCCTGGGACTGACATGCACACAAAATGACTTGCTAGTCGGAAATAGCCCTGCCATCAATGTAGGATGGCATTGGGCTGAAGCTATATAAATTTATGTTTTTTTTATTACATTTTTTAATCTTTTTAAATTTAAGTTGGTAATTTCCTCCTTTTTAGTTCCTGAATTCCTTACACGATGATTGCCAAGATTTACAGGGTACTTACTTTCTATTCCGTTTTCGGACATGGTTGTAGGCTTCCAGACCTTCTGTTAGTGTTTTCAACTTGTCAGGTTCCACCTGAGAGAAAGTATGAACAACAAATTACATTACCTAGACATTCAATTATTCCAGATATAATCTCAGCTTCAAGAGATCACAGTAATACCAAATGTTCCACTGTGAACTCACTCTGATAGACTACGCACTAGTTTTTCCGTGTTCTTCAAAATAAAAATTACTTTTGTTTACTTCAAAATAAAAATTGTACTACCTTTACTAAGCTAATCCATATAACATAATCTAATTGTCATTGCATGAAAAAGTAATATCTCTAACTCCTTACCAAATTGTTTATGAGATCCTAAGTATTTCAAGGTGAATATTGAAAACATACACAATGAATAGGATTACACATAGTCCTTGACTTACAATCACAATTGAATTGGAACTTCTGTTGCTAAGGGATGCAATGTTTAAATAAGTCATCATGTGACTGCACCCAATTTTAGGATCTTTTTGATGTGATCTTTGAGGGAACCATGTGGTCATTAAGCAAATCTGGTTTCCTCCATTAATTTTGTTTGATGGAAGCCCCCTTCCAGGTCACAAATAATGACTATATAACTTCAGGGTGCAGCAACTGTTGAAAACACATTGTTGGTTGCCAAGTGCCCGTATTATGATCGCAGGACTGCAATGGTTGTAAATGCAAAGACTGGTCTTAAATAACTTTTTTCAATGCTGCTGTAATTTTGGGCGCTAAAAAAATGGTCGAAAGTTGAGGACCACTTGTATTTGAAATTTACCCACTCATAAAATCCAACATTTAATTTCTGCAGCAGAAGAATTCTAGTTCAAATCTAAGTCAGACTTATTGTTTATATAACATTATAAGATTAGCAGCATAGGTAGCAATTGCCCCCCCAAAAGCAAGTGTTTAAGAAAAAACTCATAGTTGTATTCATTGGGGCGTAAGATTATTTTATGGAGTATAACCCCAAGCGAGTTTCCCTATAACACCTATTGTGGCGTCTCCTAAAGCAGGGATATCAAACTCAAGGCCCGAGGGCCAGATCCGGCATGTGGGATGTTTACATCTGGCCCGCAGGGCCGCCCTGGAAGCAGCAAAGGATCAGCCTGCAGTGCCTCTGCCAGAAGAAACGGGCTCCTGAGTACGGCCCTACCAAGCTCTGTTTTTGCTGACAGAGGGTTGCAGGAAGCCGTTGCAGCCAAAAAGGGAGCTCGGGGGCCCATTTTCACTGGCAGAACACTCAGGCACCAAAGCCCTCCACACACGAGTGATTTTGAGCTAGCCACGCCCACCTCGGGCCCCTGAGGTCAGACATCACCTGATGTGGCCCTCAATGAAATCAAGTTTGACCTAAAGTTTCATCTCTCAATAATAACACCCATTTGCTTTGGGAAAAAATTCTCATAAGGAAAAGTAGAATAAAATTTTAGGACAATTGCAACTGACCAATAGCAACGTTGCATTTTTCCTTAGTAATAGCTTCCTTTAGATTCTGAGGGGCCAACCAAAGCTTAGCAGTAAGAATAGGCCCTCCATATGATTTTTAAATAACAAGCAATGGAAGTATCTTCTCAGACAATAATCCATTGTCTTAATATTGTTAATTATTGAAACAGTGAATATAAATTTTGTTTTGGCACCACTACTACAGAATACAATTTGGTTCACTGTAATTAAACAACAAAGCTACAAATTGGGTAACACAGAGATTTCAGCTGCATTGAAGTGATAAAAATTATATATTTCAGCAGCAGGATTTTTTTTTATAGTAAATTCTGTTTCTAACCGAACTTTGTAAATGCTTGAGTTGTTTTCTATAGCTATATGTACAAATGACATTACAATTATTATGTGTAAATAACTTTGTTTTTCAAATAGTATTAAAAAAACTTCATAGTTCATTTCACTAACAAAAAACATCTAAATTAACATCACTTACAATAAACTTCTAAATTAACATTTAAAGTCGGAAACAATGCTATTATTACATCCTTTATTACTTGGGTTTGATGACATCTTATATTACTTTGGTGAAGGTTTTATTTTTTAACATTTTCATTTAAACAATAGCTTTTTATTCCAATAATTGCTAATGTATACATTTTATGAATGCGTGAACCATTACAACATCAATACTCCCAAGAATTTCATTAAAAGCAACTGCAGAAGTGAAGCACAGAATTTCCATCCTGAATATCTACATCACGTAACTGCCTGCAACTCCATGGTCAACGTTTCTTCCTCTAATTAATACAGTAGAGTTTGTGAGGCTGCACTGATAACATTTACTTTGTATTCCAGGACCTTCTGAATGATTGTGGACACTGCTCATTACAAAATGTGTAAATGAAAACCTTTTGCTGGGAAATTCAAAAGTTACTACAAGTGGTCCTTAACTTACAAGGGTTTGTTTAATGACTGTTCAAAGGTATGGTGGCTTTATTGTATAGTATAGCCTTTTTAATCATTGTACATCATGTATATAATGAAATTGGTCCATAAAGCACTTCTGGCCATAGTAAAATGCTTTGATACTCTCTCTCCAGAGGTGGTATTCAACCAGTTCTGACAGGTTCTGGAGAACCCGTAGCGGAAATTTTGAGTAGTTCAGAGAACCAGCAAATACCACCTCTGGCTGGCTCCGCCCCATCTATTTGCTGCCTCCCGAGTCCCAGCTGATCGGCTGTTCTTCTTCTGTTGCCCTGCACAGGAGAATGGAACTGGAAAGCAGGTTGGTGGGGTAGAAATGGAGATTTTACAGTATCCTTGCCCTGCGACGTCCACCAAGTCACGCCACACCTACAGAACTGGTAGTAAAAATATTTTATTCCCACCACTGACTCCCTCCTCCTGCAGTCATGCAACTGTGATCTGGGTGGTTGGCAAACCGTTCATATTTATGACTGGTTACCTCGTGATGATGTGATCACCATTTGTAATCTTCTCTGCCAGCTTCCCCAGAAAATCCATGTATGCGGGTGAGGAGGGGAGGACAGAAGTCTTTTGCTGGACTACAGAAACAAAGCTTGATTCTTTGGGATCCCTGCTTCATTTCTCCAGCCAAGGGCATGAGTTCCTTCCTATGTATGGTAGGCAGTTCTTTCACTGTATCTGCTGAATGACCTGCATGGTTCTTTTATTTATTTATTAAACTTATACGCCACCCCTCTCACTAGCCAAGTGACTGCATGATTTAATGATCAAATTGGGAGAGCCAGTTTGTTGCAGTTGTTCAATGAAGCAGTCACGTGGGTGTCTTAAAAACTGCTTTGTTCATTGACCAAGATTCCGGTCTCAATTCTGGTCATAAACTGAGAACCACCTGTATGCTAGTACAGTGTCTTCCCTTTTCTTAAAGACATTTTCATTTGTTAATTCAAATATTAGAATGGTCCTACTGAAGTTTAAAAGTAGCTGTAATTCTCATAATAAAAAAGTATATCTATTTCTACTTATCTCCTCAGTCTTCTGATACTTTTAGAACATGCTGAGATAATTAATATCCATAGGTAAATGTCATGATTTAAGAGCTGGACCACTCTTAAATTAGAGAAAAAATTTCCCAAAGGAAGATTACACAGAAAAAACTAATCTGTCTCTATTATCATAGTCTAATTCATCTAAGACAATTCTCCTATTTTAAAAGTAAATTAGGAGTAGAAAAAATAATTTCTTTTCAGATCAATAAATTGAATGTGTCTTACACTTCACCCTCTTAGATGAGGAAAACTAATTGATGAACCTTAGCAATACATTCTACAATACCTACCATGAGAACCTAGCAGTAACTTTTTCAACTCTCCATTCCCACCAATGTTTTATTACTGGCTTATGCACATTTTTACAGATGTTCCAGGGAATCTGTACATAACACGTTGGTGATTGTGTTATATTGTTGGTTATACCAATAGCACTTAAACTTATATACCACTTTGTAATGCTTTGTAACCCTCTCTAAGTGGTTTACAGAGTCAGGATATTGCCCCCATCAAACGCAGTCCTCATTTTATCAACCTTGGAAGGATGGAAGGCTTAGTCAATCCTGAGCCGGTAAGGATTGAAGTCCAGGCTGTGGGCAGAGTTAGCCTGGAATACTGCATTTTAACCACTAAGGCACCATTGGCTCCCATACAATATTTAATTATTTTTCTAATATGAACGTAGCAGTTTACATAAATAGATATTGGTTGTATTCGGCAGTCATTAACATTGAAAATAAACATTTCAGTCTAAGAGTATAAAGATACCTCTTTGTTGGAAATGTGAAGATCATGAAGGGACATTTGATGATACACAGTGGACTTACGAAGTGAAAAAAATGGAGCAAACACATATGATGATGCAGAGAAAAATCAATATTTAGTCAAAACTGGAACTTTTCTTACGAGGATAGCCAACTAGAAACTCTCATGGAATATTGGCTTTATATATGGTAACTGCAGTAAGGCTATTAATGTATATGTACAAAATGGAAAAAAAACCTATAAATACCTAGAATGGAATAATGAATTGTGAAGATGGTAGGCCTTGCAGAAATGTCTCAATTGAATGGTTTAACTAAGGAAGGAGCAATAACTAATTTTATAAAAGACCGGAAATCCTTTATCAAAATGGATTAAAAATGAACTGCTGATCCCCAGATTTATTGATTAAAAATTACTGTATAGAAGAAGATTGGAACTATGCTATATAATTTGGGAGGGCAGGAACAATATTAACTATGCTTGTAAGTGCTCTGAAGAAATTGGAAGTTGCTTCTTAATGACTTTAAATTTTCATGGTATCTTGATAAAGCTATCCAACAAATATCCAAACATTTAGCTTTCTGTTTTATATGCTCTTTTTATCTTACTGATAATTTACATAATAATTCTATGTAAATTTTTATTTTTCGATAACTATTCTTTTGTCTTTTTTCAGGTTACAAATCTACATCTTGGGTACAAGCTATAAGTATTTTCTCTCCCTATACTATTGTTGGTATTTTGTCAATAGATAGAAACCCAAGGGGATGATGACTCTTGGGGCTAAAATAGTTTGAAAGGAT